GTGACCCACATGGTGCAGCAGACTTCTCCTGTCTCGCCTGCTGCTCCCCTCAACAGCATATTTCAGTCAATCTACCTGTTCTGTTTCCCACTCTGTCTCTGGTGAATCCTCTCACCCTCCACATCTCTGGCCTGTTCCCCAGCTTTTGTATGCATAAAATAAATAAATCTTAAAAAAGGGGGGGGGGAACATCTTATGTCCATGTAAAAGGTGCAGGTGGATGAGAAGAGGCCAGAGGCAGGATAAAGCCAGGAAGGAGCCTGCTCCATACATCTAGGTAGGAAACCCTGTAAGTTGGGGTGGTGGTAATGGGAACATCATCATTAATGACTCAGAAGGTAAAAGAGAAATGTCTGTGGTATCAGGCATGTGGACCAAAAATCCTTCACTCTCTCACCTCTCAGGGATTTGATACTAGGACGGTTACTTAGCCTGTCACAATCTCTTATGCCTCATTCATACAGTAGGAACCCTCATGAGAGTTACAACCTACAGCTAATGCACATTAATAATGGCAGGAGGAAGTTACTTATTATTGTTGTTATGAATAACAGTAGGATGGATCTAAGATATATGCTGAGGAAATTAACACAGAGGTTGTTAATTAGGGAAGAGTAAATGACATCTTACTTACAATTGCATCTTGTAATGCGATTGAGTACTTGTTTTATTGTTGGAGGGCAGATGTTCCACCGCCCCCTCAGAGTCATTGCCAATGTTAAAGGGATGCACAAGGATTAGGATTCCTTATGGAGAAAGGTTTGGGAATTTCCAGGAGTAGTCAAAAAAGGGACCCTAGTGGTGTTCCAGTGGTATACACCCAAGGTCCACAAGAGCACACAGGATGATTTCACGGGTACAGTATTTGACACTTTTTGTTCAGATTGCCCATGGCATCACTGGAGGCGAGTCAGCATCCTGAAGACACAAGAGAAACTGAGGGTGAATTTTAGGACGTGCCATCACTCCTCGGATGGTGCAGAGTCATCTGCGTGCCCAATTGAGAGACAGCAGATGGAGTCAAAGCAACTTGCTTGAAGAAACCTGTGCATCGTTTGTTGTAAATGGAGGAACTGGCCCAAGGTTGCTATATGCCCTGGGGAGGTGCTTACTGGAATGAGAACAGGACCCACAGGCAGCTGAAAGATGATTCATTAGTGCACCACAATGGGAATAATGTGGAATCACTCCTACATTTCCCTTCCTGGGTCGCCACCCCCCTCCTTCAGCACTTACCACTTATCAGGTAGTGGCTATGGAAATGTTCCAATACCTATGGAAACTCAGGTATAGTGTCTGAGATAGGTGGGCTGGTACACAACCCCAGGGAAAAACAGGGTGCACCAATATTTGCAGAAAGTACTCCCAAACTATCCAGCCCGGTCTCATGTCCCATACCAGTCCCTCCCTATACTGTCACTGAAAATAAGGCAATAACATAAATTCACCTCAACAGTAACCATGGCTCTTACTCCCTATGACTAAGACACAGTATGCCTTGTGTATTAATTTGCCACAGTGTTAGTGGCTTGAGTAAGCAACCAAATTTGGTACTTTACAGTTCTGGAGGTCAGAAGTCTAAAATGTGTCTGCAGGGCTGCTGTCCTCCTGGAGGCCCTGGTGGAGAATCCATTTCCTTGTCTTTTCCAGCTTCTAGAGGCCCCTATATTCCTTGGCTTGTAGACCCCCCCCCCTTCCTTTGTCTACAAAGCCACCAGTGCAGCATCTCCTCTCCTCCTTGGTCTCTGATTCTATCCTTAGATCTTTCACTGACTCTAACTCTACTATCTCCCTCTTATAAGGACTCTTGTGTTTATCTTAAGCCCATCCTGATAATCCAGGATTATCTCTCCATCTAAAGGTCCTTAATCACATCTGCAATGTTCCCAATTTGCCATATAAGGTAACATATTCACAGATTCTGGGGATTCAGATAGGGACATCTTTGGGGCCTGGGAACCTTTTTTTCAGCCTGTGCCATCTTGCATGAACTATTTCCCTTCAATCTGTACAGCTCCACTATGATATACACAATCACAGATGGAGAAACCGAGGCTTAGTTAACTGACACAACTTGGAAGCAGCAGCCCTGTGTGGAAAACCTGTTAAGGTGAATAAAATCCAAGCCTTCTTCTTCCCCACATCTCTCTATGAGGACTACACCTGAGTGGGGGTGGGGGGGGAAGCAAACATTGTTTAAAAATGAAGAATGATGAATGATGTAACAAATAAATAAGTAAATAAATAGATACAATAGAATAGTTTAAAAAATATATTTTCTCTCCTATTGCCCTCCTGCTCCTATGCCAAGGGAACACAGGCACTCCCTTCCAAATGTTAAGACTCCTTACACCACCAGATGTGCACTCAATTGGAACAGCTGTAAGGTGTGTGATGGCAGAAATCAGGGCTTGGAAATCTGAAGCCGTGAGCCCAAATATTGATATCTACCAGCAGCACTATGATCGTGGGCAAGAATTAACCTCTCTCTACCTTCACTACTAATCAAAGTTGTTTGGATATAGGTTAAGCATGTAGCCTCACTACAGCAATGCTAGTTTCCCTCCTCTCCTGAGGACCTTCATAATTCAGTTGCCCTTCCTCTGTCATGTACTACTTACTCCAAAGAGACCTGTGGTCCACAGTGTCACAAGGCATGGTTTTATGATTTCCTCCTCTTGATACCAGGTCTGGTGATATTCTCCCTAGTAAGTACACTGTGTATATTGACTAATCACTTCTATCAACTAATAACCTGTCTTACATACATGTGATTTCTTTTAGGCATTTGGGAACACTGAGAGCAATTCTGTAACAGTGAACCCTGTTCCTATTACTCCTTTGGGGAAACTGATTGGGAGCCACAGTCTTAGAATTTTTCCTGCTTAAGGATAGGCTGTGATATACCCATGGTGCTTTGCAGAGCTGCCTTCATTGTGTAATGGAGCAAAGGTACACTTAGATGAAGTCTATGGCAGGTAATAGCATCACGTCTTCTTAGCAGATTGTTGGGCAGAAGACAGTGCATCAACAAATATGCATTGGTCAATTTGGTAATTATCTAGCTTCCCCAATAGGAGGTTTTAGTTGTATTTGAGTATAAAATTTTTTTCAGTTATCAAGTGTTCTTTTAGGAATTAATTTACCATATTGATTTTCCATAAAATCCCATCAGAATGGAGATTTTGGGCAGAATACAGGTGATTTTTTCATCTTATAGGTACAGGATTCACAACAGCAAAAATAAAACTGATAAAAATAGCAGCTCTTCTCTGGGGAATCTGCTACATTCCAATGTGGCTGGATTGAGAACAGATTGTTTGTGCAGTTTGATATCCAGGGAGACTCACAACAAGCCTGGCAGAAATTATACTGGAGAAATTATACCTTTACTGATTTTCCAGAGGGGTAACCACAGAATGGAGGTTAGCTTAACTCATCAAATTTGAAAATCCTTTAAGTCACCCAGGCTTGGCAAGAACTCATTTTCCAACTATGGCTTTAGCGCTTCTCCTTGTATACCAGGCATCCCCTTTCTACACATAATCAGAGGACTGGACCTTATTGGATTCAACTCAGCTGGCAATTCTTCTTCGAGAATCTCTCCACACCAGAATTTATTCACTAGGTGTAGCTATATTCTACAAGAAACCTACTAAGGGCTGGCAGCACAGTAGCACTTCCCTCCAGGTGATTATAATCTGAGGTGTCATGAAGCAAGCATTTAATTTCTTTCCACCAAAACAGGAATAATGTATTCATTTTTTAAAAAAACACTCAGCTAAGAGCACATGCAAAATATTTCCATCATGTATTCCTCCACCATGTATTTATTAAATTCCACTCTCATACACTGCTTGAAATACCTGCGAACCAAAATCTGTTTCCTTTGTGATAAGCACTATTCATTTATTATCTCATTTAATTCTCACACCCTATGAGTTTGTGAGATGACAGGCTCATAAAAGTGAAGTAACTTATGCAAGTTATTATCTTGTAATGCCGTAAGATACAGAATGTTTGCTATAGACTTCTTTCTCCCTCAGGGAAGCAAAATTTGACTCATTTCCTTTTTGGGGAAATTTCAGAGAGCAAAAAGTCTGTAAGAGGGTGTAAGGAATTTAGATAGTTGGAAATTAGAGAAGAAAGGCATTTCAGACACAGGAAACTGACCAAAGACCCAGAGTTGATAATGTTCAGAGTTTGCTCTAGATTACATTTAGATTATGGAGTGAAAAAACGAAGAGAAATAAATCAGGTATTCAGGTATATTGGAGCCTAGAGCCCATGGAGCCAACCTGCACCCCATAACACTCTCTTCCCCACCTACTTCCATGGAGTCAGTCCCTAAAGCCAGTCAATTATCACACCTAAAATGCCTTTTAAACTTTTCTATCCCCATGGCAACCACCTTAAGACTCAATGATATTCTCCCTTGTTTATTTTTTAATTGCTTCCTAGGTGACCTGCTAGACAGTAGCTACTCTTCAGTGTGGCTGTACAAATGCAAGTCTGATACAATCTGTGCACAGTTTGATAATACTGTGAATATTTAACATTTTAAAACCTCTGCACTCCTGGCATACTGTTCGCTTTTACAGTCCCATCTCCTCTCATCCATCTCCAGTACTTCAGTCATAACCATCTTACCTGGGTACTAGATGGGTCCACGACTTAATTATTATACACATAAACACCTTCTAAAATCATAGCAAGTGAATGAATGTTGTGTAAACCATGACAGCAAAGGAGAGCTGGGACAACAAGAATGCCCTTCTCCTCCCTCTTCCCCCCTCAAAAAACAACAACAACAACAACAACAAAAAACACCCACATTCAATCTTGACTGAAAAATACAGGAATCCTCTGCCGTTTATTTCTCCTCTCCATATCCCCGCCCTGGCCAATCCCTAGCAGTTTTTTCTCCCCTAGTCCCACCCCTGCAGTGGTCTGCTCCTTTTCCTATCTGACAGCGGAAGTCTGGGTGGAGGAACCGCCCACTTCCTCTTTGGAGTTAGGTGAGTGCGTGGCAGGAGAGGCGGAAACAATTTAGCTGAGCCTTCTTGCGCGCTTGCGGCTGTGGTGAGTGCAGGCGGTGGTTGCTAGCTCCAGTTGGCTTGGCTGGGAGTAAGCTTTGTGGTTGATAACATCTCTTTTGTTGCTACAAAGACTCTATTGAGGTTGGTGGCGTCTGCAGCTGCACCCTGTAAAGGTACAGATAGTTGCTTTCAGCAGAGACTACAGATATCCTTCTTAGGATTGCTGTAGACTCTGTGCACCTAGCAGGAGACATGCCCAGGGGACGGAAGAGTAGGCGCCGTCGCAATGCTAGGGCTGCAGAAGAGAACCGCAACAATCGTAAGATCCAGGCCTCGGAAACCTCTGAGACCCCGATGGCAGCCTCTGTGGTCTCAAGCACACCTGAGGACGACCTGAGCAGCCCTGAGGAAGACCCGAGCACTCCGGAGACCTCCACCACCCCCGAGGAAGCCTCGAGCGTTGCTCAAGCTCAAAAGCCCTCTGTAGCCCGGAGCAATTTTCAGGGTACCAAGAAAAGTCTCCTGATGTCCATATTAGCTCTCATCTTCATCATGGGCAACAGCGCCAAGGAGGCCCTAGTCTGGAAAGTGCTGGGGAAGTTGGGAATGCAGCCTGGCCGGCAGCACAGCATCTTTGGAGATCCAAAGAAGGTCGTCACGGAAGAGTTTGTGCGTAGAGGGTACCTGATTTATAAGCCGGTGCCTCGTAGCAGTCCCGTGGAGTACGAGTTCTTCTGGGGACCTAGAGCACATGTGGAATCAAGCAAGCTGAAAGTCATGCATTTTGTGGCGAGAGTGCGCAACCGATGCTCCAAGGACTGGCCGTGTAATTACGACTGGGATTCAGACGATGATGCAGAAGTTGAGGCTATCCTCAATTCAGGTGCAGGGGGTTACTCTGCACCTTAGGTAAATTTGGAAAAGACCCTTGGGGGGGGGGTTGGAAAGAGCAACAAAGGTACCCCAAGGTGTAGATCATCCATGTCCTGAGTTGTATATGACTGGGAGGGGGAGTGGGGGACTGTATTTGATATTTGTGATAAGTGCTAATGTTTAACTTGCAAAATGGAGTTTTTGCTTTGGATATTGTAAAATTTTATTCATTTTAATACATGAGGTTGATTAAGGTCACAATATGTTTAAAATATGATTGAAGCAAAGAGGTTTTTTCGCTTCATTGAGATTTAGTATAAGTGTTACTATGGTTATAAAATGAAGTTTTTCTGTCATGTTCTGTGATCTGCTATGTAATTTATATCATGGAAATAGGATGTTATTTTAAAGTTTGAAATAAGCAGAAAAGGTGAAAGGACAGGGGATTTGACTTGTACTTGGCCTATCTGAAAGCTATTGTGTCTGCTTTGGTGTAAGAAGACTGATATTTACCTTGATTTTGCTTAGTTACTACAGAATATAGAAAAAAATAAAAGCATAATAACAAGGACACCTTGTTCATTTATTGAGCAACCACTAGTTATGTGTAAGGCACCAGTGTAGATTCTGGGGGTATTCCTTAGTACACAGCCCTCAATTTTAAAGAATGTTCTAGATAACATGGGAGAGACATATATGCAAACTGTGGTAAATGCTGTAATAGAGAGCAAGCATGGCATACCATGAAAATGTAGGAAACATTAGGTGATCTGACTTGGTTGATGGGATGAGAAAGAGAAAAATTTAGAGTGCTATACAAATCCCAAGAGATTTTTAAATAACCTTGGGGGAAATTGATAGGGGCATCAGAGCACAGTATGAACATTTGTATTAGGTAATTATTGGATACTTAACCCAGCACAGGGGTGGGGACATTGGCAGAGGGAAAGGAACATCATAGAAAATACTCTTAAATCAGCTTGAGAGAAGACAGGCTGAAGGAGAAAAGACATTATGGGGTATTGCAAAATCTAAAAAGGTGAGACAAAAAAATCTTGGTGAGATGACAACCTGAGGTCTGAAGTAATAATGGAGATGGGAAAGGGAATAAATATGCAGCCACTAAAAGCAGCATGGAAAAAAACAAATTTTTCACTGAGTTGTAAAGGTTAGATCAAGGGGAGTGAAGGGAAAGAGAATTGAAGTTGGGAAGAGGTGAACAAGGGCTATATTTCAAAAGTTGGGAGTTCCAGTTGATTTTGATGAGAACAAAAATGATTAATAATAATGGCAATCCTGAAATATAAAAAGAAAGATTTTGCCCCCAAGCATAAATTCTTAGATGAGCTAGAAAGGTACTACCTTTGAAAGGTAGTACCTCTGAAAGGTACTACCTCTGAAAGGTGCTACCTCTGAAAGGTAACCTGGCACTTCTCCCAGGCGCTATGTTTTTTTAGTATGTGCAGATTGTCTTTAAAGTGTGTAGGGATGTGTGTGTGTGTGCACGTCCATGTACAGGAGTGGGGCAGCTCTGAGAGTTAGCACTCTGACTCTTTCCTCTGGTCAGTGTAGTGAGTCCAGAGGGCTACCTGGTATGGTGGCCCATATTGTATTAAGTCATGTGGCATTAGATTTCTTTCCACCTCCAGGAGATTTCATACTTTCTTACCTCATTATACTAAGGTGTGCAATGCTCTCCTGATCCATTCTATCACCAGGAGCTTCTGAACCCTCTTCTTCTGAGGAGCTTCTTCACCCTGCAGCAAATCTGGAGCTATGGGAGTCCCTTCACATTCTTAGCAACTCTCTGGTCACCCACAAAGCTTACCACATTTGTTCCTAGAGTCCAAACCTGTATGGACTAAGTCCTGTAAGAGGGAGCATCAAGGAAGGGAGCCTCGCCTAAACTTATGGGCCTCAGAGGGAACAGCTACCTCACACGAAAGAGTAATCAGGGTGCATTCTTCTTTCTCTGCCTCCAGTCTAAACATGCTTCCAACTCTATGTCAGGTAAAGTCACTGGGGCCAGGATAGGCTAATAAGTGACTTTCTGGCAAAGACCCAGGGACCCATAGACATCAGCATGAAAGCTGAGGGTTCAAACAAAAGTAGGAACTATGGCCCTTCAGCAGGTCCACTTTCATTCAGCAGACAAAACATTAGTGAGGGCCTTCTATGATTTAGGCAGTGAGATGGCAACTGAGCCTATAAAAAAATCAAAATATATGTTTCTTGAGCTGGATGGGGGAGCATCTTTGCCAAAACCATCCCCAGGGGTAAATAGGTTGTGAATTTGAGATTCAGAGTACTAAGTGAGTTTCCTGTCTAGAGCCACAGGGGTGACAAGTGACAGATCCTAGGCAAAACCCCATGACCTTTCCCTGCAAATCCAGTGTGCTTTCCCACAGGCCATGCTGCTGTTATCTCTGTCTACCAAAGCACTATCAGGTGTATGTCTTCAAAAAAAAGTGTGAAGTCAGTGGGATAGGTCTCAGTAACTCAACTTAATTCTCCCCCTTTTACAGATAGGGGCTCAAGGAAGTAAGTCCAGGTCAGTCAGCTAGCAAGGGAAAGGGCCTGCAAAGGAAAGATTTATTGACCATCTCTTCTGTACTAAGGGTTTGCCCCATATTATCTCTGTCAGGCCAGTAAGATACTCCCGATTTCACAGTAAGTGCCACCTAGTTCAAGGGAAGAAATAATGACCTTCCAAAATCTGTCTGAATACATGTTTTCTTCAGTTCTGGTGGGGAATTATCAGCCAATTATTTAAAGTGGTTATTTGCAGGTATGGGCCAAGAAGCTTAATTCAGCCAGAGAACCAGTAGGAGGCAGTATAAAAAGAGAGAAAGTGGGAGTATACCTCAAGTTGCACTATTAAAGACATGACTTAGAATCCTGAAAGCCTCAGGCAGATGGCTCCACAGGAATGCACAAAGAATTAGGTGACCTGCCTCAGCCCAGCAAGGAAGCAATCAATGGCCAGAGTCATCCTGCTCTTGTCTTGGAAGTTTAGTGTGTCTCTCACTACCCCCAGCCCCACAACACACTACACTGGTACTACAAAGAGTTAATGTTCATTTCATTAGGTAAAGGCTGAACAAAGGCAGGATTTCCTGTGACTGAAATAAATGAAGGGCTGAGGGAGAGGCAGGGAAAAGGGGCTCTGGAAGATGGTTAAGAAAAAAAATATTCATTGTTTCATTTACATAAATTCTTTGAGCTTTGAGCAATATCCAGATGGGATGGAACCGCTTGCTGTGTAAATCAACAAATTTAGCTAGTCATAGCCCAGCAGAGTTTTACAAAATGAATATAAAAGCTGCATTTTTAGTTGCCAGAATGCCTCTGATTGAATGGATTGATATACTGGGTCCTAGAACACTTCAGTTGTTTTTTTTTTTTTTAAGATTTATTTATTTATTTATTTATTTATTTATGCATACAAGAACTGGGGTACAGGCCAGAGATATGGGGGGTGAGAGGATTCACCTCTTACCCTGTAAGAGCGGGGAACAGAACAGGCGGATCTACGGAAATACACTGCTGAGGGGAGCAGCGGGTAAGACAGGAGAGGTCTGCTGTGCCACGTGGGTATCTCCCTGGCCGGGGATCAAACTTGTGCTGCAGTGGCTAGGTTGTGTCTTAACCCTTTGCGCCACCAGAGAGGCCCTTGAACACTCAATTTGTTTAAGGAGCTCAGGGAGAGAGCCTGAAACTCCCCAATGCATTGCAAGGGGAGCTGCTGCCTTTTCCTGAGTATCTAAATTATACCAGGCACTTTGATGGCTGTTTTCTTACATTGTCTAACATTTGCTACAGTCCAGCAAGGTAGGCACCATCACGCCAGGTCTACAAAGGGCAGTCAGTGTCAGATATCAAAAGCAAGTGGCTAGAGTCAACCTGGTTACTCAGTGACAACCTTGGGCTTGCCATGTCTGAAACCCACACCATTTTATTAAAACAACAGACACTTGGGGCTCCATCCAGCCTTCTGTCTTCAAACTCCACCACAACCCAGGGTGAGATGAACATGCTGGTGTGGGACAAAGAGGCATGGGAAAATTAGGTTATATAAGTAATTTAGGGATAAGTGCCAAGGATGTCACTTTATTCTGATTTGTTACAGCCCGGATTGCCAAGCATCCTTGAGGTGTTGCTCCCTGTAGAATGAGTGTATTTACTTCTAATACAAGTATCTCTCTATTCCACCTCCACAGCATATGTTATTCAGAAACATTTCCATGCTGAACACACAATCAATCCTCAAATCCTAGGTCCTAGGTATCTGGAGTGGACCAACAAACAGTATCTTTTTCTGGGCCTGCAACATGCTTACTGGTACTGTTTCCAATCCAGAAGTTACAATGAATGTGTGGGCAGAACTCTTACTTTGAGCAGAATGCCTGGGCTAAGACGCAGGCAGCAAGCAATGGGTATCTGCCCATGCAAAAAGACAAACTAAGGAGTGTCCTCCTTGTCCCAGTGTTGTGACTGTGGCCTCAGCAATCATGTGCAGAGTGGACCCAAGCCATGGTGAAAGTCACATGGATTCTGCTTGGGTTCACATTCATCCTTGTGGAGTGGGTAGATTTCAGGGTCCCTCTGTCTCCTTCCTTTGGAATAACCATAGAATCCCAGCTTTCTGAAGGAAATGATTTCGAAGTAGTAGAGGTAATAGGGAAGGGAGATTGCTATGAAGATGTACTGAGGCCTGTTTACAGGTTACTCTAGGGTTTGTGAGCATGAAACACTTAAAGATCAAAGAGCTAATGCAATTTCTTTGCAATCTGTATGAGGACACTTGGGCAAAGGAGGGTCTCAGTTCAAAGTTGAGGAAAATTCTAAGAGAGTTATTCTAGAAGAATAACTCTAGAGTAATCCAGGGCTAGGAAAGTTATTCTAGGAGATTAATGCTAGAGCAATCCAGGGTTTGGAGAGGAAAAGTGGACTCTAGTCTTGTACTGCTTGCTTATCATCCAATAGGCATAAAATTCACACAGAGTGGTTTAGAGGGGTAGGTAGAACCCATAAACAGCTAGTGAAAATCAGGTCCAGTTCTTGACTGGTCAACAACTACCTTGGCCTATGTTATTTTGAATGCTGTGATTATCTAACAATTCATCCACTTACTCCTTCAACACATATTTACAAAGGTCCATTTGTGACAGTCACAGTTCCACAGGGTACATGTATGAACAAATTGCAAGCTCCCTTGCATAAAGACTTTTAAAATAACAAATTATACAGTACCTTAGAAGATAATAAGTACTTTGGTTGGGGGTAGGGAATTTGTAATAAACTCACCTAGAGCAGGGTAAGGCAGAATAGAAATACCAAGAGAGAAAGGGAGTATTAAATTCAAAACTAAATGGTGGTCAGGATAGTCCTCATTAGAGGGGTGGCATTTGAGCAAGGAAATGAAAGAGGTGGTTTATGAAGGAAGTATTACTCAGGTAGAAGGACCAGTTAGTATAAAGTCTCCAAGGCTGAGGAGTGCTAAGCATGTTTGAGGAAAGTTGGAGGGGCAGAGAGGCTAGAATGGAGTGAGCAAAAAGGACTAGAGTAGATGATAAGGTCAGAGAGATTTACAGAATCCCACATTATGATTATGTAGGGCCTAATAGACCATTTTAAGGAAACTGGCTCTTGTTTGCAGTGAAATGTGGTGTGCAGGAGGAGGGAGGCAGTGAGGGATTGAGCAGAGGAGTAACACAATCTGACTTGCCTTTTTAAAGGATCACTTTGGCTACAGACTATGCTGGATACATAGCGAAAACAGGCAAGTGTGAAAATAGAGAGACCAGGTAGCAAGCAAATGCTATCAGTCAGGCTAGTCATGATGTTGCATTGGATCATCCTGATAATAGTAGATAATGGTGAGAACTGCTCAGTTTCTGGATATATCCTGAGGTTGACCTAACAAAATCCCTGATGGTTTGGCTGTGGAGTGTTAGAAAGGTCAAGCCCGACTACATAGATATTTGTTAGAGCAACCTGTAGAATGGAATAACTGAACTGATATGAGGGATACTGTAGTTGGGACAGGCTTTATACATAGGGGAAGAGATCAGACATTCAGTTCTGGGCATGTTGGATTAAGATAACTCTTTGAGGGCCTCCCTGGTGGCCTAAGATTTAAGTCTCAGCCTAGGGTTTAAATATCACCACTATGGCCAGGGAGCTAACCCAAATATGGCACAGCAGACTTCTCATGTCTCGCTTGCTATTCTCTTTAGCAGTGTATTTCAGTAAATCCACCTTTTCTGCTCCCCACTCTGTCTCTGATGAATCCTCTCATACCCTGCACATCTGGCCTATACCCTAGTTCTTCTACACAAAGGAAAAAAGGATAGTTCTCTAACATTCATGTTGTATAGACAAGTCAGACATTTGGCTGAAAGACTGTGCCTAAGATGTACAGATGGCTTTCAAAATCATGAGACTGTATGCGATCTGGCAAGGGGATAAGTGTACATAGAAAAAAGTGGAAAGCATGGACAGGGAACTGCAGCATGAAGGGATTAGGGAGAAGAGAAGACGCTAGCTGAGACTGAGAAGATGTCACCAGTGATAGAGAATGAGTGTAGACTCTAGGGGGAGGAATGGAAGTAAAGTGTGTCAAGGGACAGGCAATGGTTAACTGTATTCAAAGTGTTGATATCAGGTAAAATAAGAGGAGTGAGAATAAATTATTGGACTTAATAATGCACAAGTCCCAGGTGACCTTAAAAAGAGCAGCTCCATTGGGGGATTGAGTAATACAACCTGCTGTGGATGGGTTCAAGAGAGACTCAGAGGGGAGGAATCAGCGAGTATAGAGAAGTCTTGAAAGGACTCTTACTGTGAAGAGAAGAAGAGAAACCTGGCAGCATCTAGTGTGGGACAAGGGAGTCAGGATAATATTTATTTCAGATGGAAGAAACAGCATTTTGCTGAAGGGGAAGTGCTCAGTGGAGAGTAGTAAAATATACAGGATGGGGGACACAGAGAGAATTGTTGGAACACTAACTTTGAGTAGGCAGGACACTTGGGCTGTGCATAAAGTGGAGGGCTAGAGCACGCACAAGGAATTCCAAATCATGTAATTACTCTTATGGATCTCAGAGATCAGTTAAACTTTCTGGCCCCCATGAACTTCTCTAGCTGAGCTCTCTATTTGTTGAGTCTCCAAGTCTGGTGAGTATATATTATGTGCCAGGCCCATTTCAGAGCACCTTAGTAACATTTAATACTCCAACAACCCCAAAATGCAACTGGTGTCATGATCTCCATTTTACAAATCAGAGCTGTGTGGCCAAATGTGCAACCAAATGGACTGGCCAAGGGCCCATAGGAAGCAGCTGGAGGATAAAAGTTTTGAGCCCCTGCTGCAAGTGACAGTTTGAATACTTTAGGTGCCCCTTTACACTGATAACAGACTTCCCCACCATAGTTGCTTCAAATGACCATTCCATAGTCCATGTGTCTGGGCACCTGTCTCAGTATCTAGTATGACACTGCTATTTCAGTGTTGGGGTCTATTATGAGTCTGAGGCTGAGTGCCAGAGCCCTGTGATCTTGACTTGCTTCACACAGACCCCTCCTTTGAAGACTGGGCCAGCTCCAACCACAAAACTGTCCTGTCCTTGTCTTTTAGAATATCCTTACTACCTGAAGGCCTGTGGCCTGACCAAGCCAAAGCACTAAGCCCTTGAGGACATCAATAGCTCTGATCAAACTAAAAGATTAATGTAGCATTTGAGACAATGTCCTTTAGACTATTGGTTTACACACACCACACACACACACACACACACACACACACACACACACGCATCTTGTCTGTTTGGGGGTTTCTTCCAGTCAACTTCATTCTTTCATCTTCCCACTCCCTACTCACTTGTCTGGTAAAAGATACCATTTGATATGACACCAAGGAGTGAGCCTCATGGAAACTGGAGTCCTGCTAATAAGGTAAACCTGAGTGAGATCAGGTGAGGTTTTCACAATTGGGTCTCGGGTCATAGGGTCCTATCCCCAGAGAAGAACAACCATATGACTGACCTGAGACAGTGAGAATGAGAACAGACTCTGTGATAAGAAAGGAAGAGGAAGAAGAGAGGGCAATGGGCCTTCAGAGATCCATATTTGAAGGGTGCCTTATTTTATAGATGAGCTTCTCCAGGGCACACACCCATCTTCCATCTACTCCAATAGCCCTCACTCAGAAACAATAATTAAGCCCTTTAGATGCCACTCCCCTGAAAATGTATATTTAATATCATTTTATTCTGTCTTCTCATGCTTGGAACTGTATACCTTTCTGAGACTATCTCCTCCAAGATGCTCCCCAGTCATGCTGCAGTGGCTGCAATAAAGACTGTT